AGCTGTGAGTCCTACCTAGCAGAGATATCTATAAATCACTGTAGTCACCAGCAAGGCAAGATTTATGTAAAAGTTTAATAAGCGGCACTCACATGCCAGTGTCAAGCAGCAACTGTCTATTTGGACTTAAGTCCCACTCAGCAGGAGGTAAATCATGCCTAATACTGGAAATCTAGTAAGATGTCTGAGACTAGTAAGGTCCTGAACCCTAAACAGAATCTCCTATAGTTTTAGTTGTGATCCTAGCCTTAAACAGCTGAGCCATCTCTCCAGACCTTTTTACCTAGCCCCATTGCCATCAGAGAGGCTTTATCCAGTAGCTGATGGAAAGAGATGCAGACCCAAAGCCAAACAGCAGGCAGAGCTCAGGGAATCCTGCAAGGGAGATTGTAGGAGTCAGAGAGGTCAGAGGCACAAGAAATCTCACTGACTCAACTGACCTAGGTTCATAGAGACTGAACTGACAACCAAAGAGCCTGCATAAGACTTGACCTAGGCACTCTGCATATATGTTACAGTTGAGTAGTTTGGTCCTCTGGTGAGACTTCTAACAATGGGAACAGGGACTATCTCTGACAGTAAAAGATTCTGGCTTTCGGGACCTACTCTTCATACTGGTTGCCTTGCCAAACCTTTATCTCTGGGAAGGTGCTTTGTCTTACTGCAACTTGATATGCCTTGTTTTGTTGCTATCCATGGGAGACCTGTCTTTTCCTGAATAGAAACGAAGGAGTGGCTTAGGGGGTAGGAACACAGTGGGGTTAGGGGGAGGGATTGGAAGGAGAGGAGGGAGGGAAACTGCAAGCTGGGAAGTAAATTAATTAATTAAATAATATAATAGATGTGAATAAGACATTCAAAAAGAATCTCCTATTCCAACTTCACATTTTGGTAGACCAACATAATTCCTTATACCTGAAAAATTAAAATGAAAGCATAACACAAAAAGGAAAAGAATATAATTATAACTGTACTCTTTGATTTATTAATTTTGAAAACTGAAGATATGATGTGGAATGATTTCCTTCTCATGGGCAGAAGGAAAAGATATGGGGGTAGAAGGAGGGACAAATAACACCGAGCTGCTTAGCAAACTCACAAAGAACCATATATTCTTGTTGCTGTTCCTTTTGGTTTGGGTTTTTGTTTGTTTTGATTTTTTGGTGTTTGTTTTTTATTTTGTTTTCTTTTGATTTTTGAGACAGGGTTTCTCTGTGTAACCTTGCTTATCCTGGAACTCACTCTGTAGACCAGACTGGGATCAAACTCAGAGATCTCCCTGCCTCTGCCTCTTGAGAGCTGGGATTGTCAGCATGCACCCTCACTTCCTGGCTGAATCATATTAGTTTATATTTAGCTAAAATTATACACAATTATACACACACACACACACACACACACAGCTGTGAGTCCTACCCAGCTGAGACACCTATGAACCAGTGTAGTCACCAGAGCATGGCAAGATGTCCATAAAGGTTTAATAAGTGGCACTCTCATGCTGGTGAGTATACAGCAAGAAATACTGTATCTGTAAAGAAACAAATTAGCAAACTTCAGAAGTTCTTGTGATCAGAGTCATGACCTGCATCCTAGAGTGTGACTACAACCCTAACACTTCCCACTTTAAAAATCGGAATCCTACAATGTATTACTTTTCGTAACTGTCTAGTTTTTTCAATATCATGTATTAATTTTGCAAATATTAATATGTTACCTTTGCCATGTACTATTTTACTATGAAATTATACCAGAATTTAATAGTAAATGATACTACTGATACATATTTGAATTACTTGGAAATGTAGTAATTATAAGCAATGCTAGTATGAGAATTAATACACATGTATGTTGTCTATATGGTCACAGTGACTTTTGTTATTTAGTTGAGAATGGAATAATTAGGCAATCAGATATATATATATTTACATATAAATTTATACATGGATATATACATATATATTGTGAAATATTTTTGCAATGCAGCTGTATTAACAGTCTCATCAGCAGTGTTCAAAAATTCCAGTTGCTGCATATCCTTAAAATATGTGATATTATTTCTTTTATTTAACTAAAGTAAATGGTTATATAATTTGAAATGATTGATGAAGTATAAGAAATAAGATTATCTTTGATTTTGAAGCTAGGAACATTTTTCTTTAAGAAATCTAGAGGTAATGACACACAATCCACATAAAAAGGATACTAGGTGGACCTAGACTGAATAATATTTTCAACATCAAAGTAGTGTTCTTAGTGTCTATACCTTGCAATATTTATGTAAAGAATTAAATATTTAAATATAGCTGTGGCTTGGAAGGAAAAGCACTCTTCTTAAGGTTTAAGAATACACTATAATGGGAAGCTTATGAAAGGTGGGAGGTAGAAGGAAGAAATAAAAACCAACTTTATACTTCTACCTTACAGGGTGTGTAGTAAAGCATAATTGATAAGCACTGATATAATGTGAAATCGAGTTTTATGGCTATATGCTTTAAATGTATAAAGAAAAAACAAACAAAATGTTTGTAACACATTTAAAACTTGTAAAAGTAAGACTGAGTAGTATTAGTGCAAACAAATTTTAATTTTTCATGGAAGGTAGTAAATAGATAAAAGTTTAAGTTAATTAAGCCAGAAATGGGCACATAACCCTCTTGTTATTTAAAGTTATTAAAATGTGTATTCTAACAAGGACCTAGGAAAGCTACATGTGTTAATCTCTGATGAATGCTCCTGAACATGAGCTGGCAAGGGCCTAGATGTGATTGCTATCCATTCGAATCATTTCTTACTTCTTCAATGTTACCATGAGCATGTGTTGCTTTAATATGACTGTTGAGTTCTGAAACTAGTTATTTGGAGAGATGATAATCTCTAACCTTCATAGTGTCAGTCATTTCGATCTTACTCTTTGAGTGAAAAGAAAGAACAAGAATCATTAGTTAGAATGAAGGTGCATTATGAACCTTCTCTGGCGATGGATGGAGAAAGAGACAGAGACCCACACTGGAGCACCGGACTGAGCTCCCATGGTCCAAATGAGAAGCAGAAGGAGGGAGAACATGAGCAAGGAAGTCAGGACGGCGAGGGGTGCACCCACCAACTGAGAGGGTGGGGCTGATCTAATGGGAGCTCACCAAGGCCAGATAGACTGGGACTGAATAAGCATGGGATGAAACCGGACTCTCTGAACATGGTGGACAATGAGGGCTGATGAGAAGCCAAGGACAATGGCACTAGGTTTCGATCCTACTGCATGAACTGGCTTTGTGGGAGCCTAGCCTGTTTGGATTTTATGTTTTTAAAAGAAAAGACTACCATAGTGTGTGTGTCTGTGTGTGTGTGTGTGTGAGAGAGAGAGAGAGAGAGAGAGAGAGAGAGAGAGAGAAACTTCTATGAACCCATTCAAATTATTATGATGAATGATGGAAAAAATCCGCTTGTGTTTCATGTGTGGGAAGCAATGCTAGAAGTAACTACTTTGGGGGGAAAAATGCCCCGAATACCTTTTTTTTTCTCTTATCAATAATCTGCCCTCCAAAGAAACTGGTTTACCAAGTCAAAACTAATTGATCTGGAGGAAGGCAAAGGCTCCACTTCCAATAACTATTGTTTTCCATTCTTATCACACACACACACACACACATATATATATATATATATATATATATATATATATATATATATGAAGAGGAATACTGGGAAGCAGGTGTGAAAGTTCCAGATTAAGGACATAGACCAATTGAAAGACTAACACCTAGTCATACCAGTAGAGAACACTTTCTTTTTCTTTACAGCTTATTGTCATTGATTTGGCCCCTGTGTGATGATATCAGATAACAGATGAGAAGAATACAAGGCTGTATGCTACTTAATGGAGTCTTTAGATAAGGGAGAGAATAATACTAACACTTAAGTCCAATTGGAGAGCTATTGCTTACCAGCAAGGTATGTATGACACTATTGCACCCCTAAGAACATACTGCCAAGCTGGTCCTTGTGGTTCATAGGCTTTGTAGATGGGTAGGGCTATTGATTGCCTCCCTTCTACAGAAGCTTGCTAGGAGGCTTTCAGGTCAATTCCTGCTCAGGTGCCCCTAGGACTTACGTCTGAAGTATGCACAGTGCCTTCAGCAGTAGGTACTTAACTTCCACTTTTGTGGGGCAACCAAGGGAAATAGCAATAGCTTGTAATGTTTGTGAAGTCTCTTAGACAACTCTGACTAACAACTCAAAAGGGGGTTTCTCATGCCTGGAATGAGAAGTTTTGTTAGATGGCCTTTGGCTCTTCAGAGAGCACTGCGAGAAAAGATGAAAAAAAATTTCATTTGAATTATATATGTGTATTTATACAGAGGCTAAAATATATTATGGGGTTTATAAGGAAGATAATATTATTCTTTATGACTTTTATATACTTACTGGTATTTTGTCTTCCTTCCTCCTTCTTTTGCATTTATCTCTCCCTCTCTCTAATTAAAGACCTAATTTCTCTCATTTCCCCCATTAGATCTAACCAACATATAGGTTCCTACCATGACCCACTCTACCAGCACCTACACACAGTAGTACTCTTTGTGCCACCGAGATTACCACACTCGACACCTTGTCTTCATTAGTCCTGCTCCATGGTACATTCTGGTGAATAATTCCTCAAACCAGATACATTTTTTTTCTACATCCATTTGTATCTATACCAGTTCTGACTCTCACTACTCTGAATGAGTCTGATCAACTGAGCGCCATCTAGACTTCTTCAGGTTCAGAAAACCCATTCCCTAGCCTAGTCCCATTACTTCCATGTATTCTGTACCCAACATAAAGTTGGCTACATAAACACCCAAACTCCCTCTTTTTCCATGCACTCACCATTACTGCCCCAAACCTTTGAAGACCCAAATCTCTCCCTTGTCTTCAACCCACACAAACTCCCTCTCTTCCATGCACCCACCATTGATTCCCAAACTTTGGAGACCCAAATCCCTCTCTTGTTTTCTACCCACCAAAACTCCCTCTCTTTCCATGCACCCACCATTACTGCCCCAAACCTTTGGAGACCCAAATCCCTCCCTTGTTTTCTACCCACCCAAACTCCCCCTGTTTGCATGCTCTCAACATTACTGCCCCAAAGTTTTGGAGACCCAAATCCCTCCCTTGTTTTCTACCCACCCGAACTCCCCCTCTTCCTTGAACCCACCCTTGATACCCCAAACCTTTGGAGACCCAAATCCCTCCCTTGTCTTCTACCCACCCAAACTCCCCCTCTTCCATGCACCCACAATGACTGCCCCAAACCTAGTGAGAAACAAATCTCTCCATTGCCATTCACCCACCCATCTTCCCTCTCTTCCTCTATAACCATCATTTTTCTTTCCCTTTCCTGGTTTCGCCGTTAGACACTCACAAACACATAACGTTTCAATTAAATTGAATTTATTTTTAATTTAATAAATTTATACCAATGCGATTTTATTCGTCATATGTGGGCATTCCCCCATCTTCGCGATAGCCTTTTAATTGGCTCTCCCCCTCATCGGCTGCTGCGGCCACGCTTGGTTCTCCAGTCGCGTGCTCCTCCTTGGCTTGCTTAGCAGGCTCTTCCTCCTGAGGTGCAGGCATTGCAGTCACCAGTTTCACTTTGATTTTCTTCAATTTGAGGGCAGCTGCCTCTTCCGCCTTCCTCTTTCTCTTGTTCTTCTTTGAGGAGTGCTTTCCGTGTTTGTGCCTCTTGTGTGCCTGGAATGGCAAGAGGGGAACACAAGAATTAGTTAATATAGGGAGAAGTCAGGAGAAGCATGTGAAGGATACTTTGTCGTCGGAAGAGGTGAGAACTGATAAGGGATTTATGCCAGGACAGAGAGAGGTAGAGACTTTAGGTAAGAGTACATGAGTAGAGGAGGGAGCTCCAGTAGGGTTCGTCACCTCACCTTTCCGCGCAACTTGTAAGGTGGATACTGCTTTAGAGCTGCCTTGGTCTTTACCATAAGGACTGGCCCGTTCGCTGCCATGGGAGCATCACTGGTGGACGATGGGAGGTCCATGTCGGACACTGATTCCTGGGGCTTCTCGCCAAGACTCTCCATCACCAAGTCGCGAGGGGGCGCTAGTCGTTTCTCCCTCGAGGGGCTGTGAACAACTGGCAGAGTAGGGAAGGCCACACCCTCAGACCTGATTCATCATCAAGGTCTCAACCAATAGTAGGTGAGCTTGTGCTCTGACATCACAAGAATGCCTGGTGAAGGAACAAATAGCAGACTGTACCACTCCTGACACTTTGATGATAAGGGGGAAATATTGAGAAGGCAAAGAGAGTTTGGTTTAGATGGAGACTTTGTTTAATAACTCTAAGGCAAATTTTCCATGTCATCCTTCTTTACATATCCACTTTAGTTGTGGTAGAACGCATGACAGATCATTTGCTTCTCTAAATTCTTCAACAATACTATCCTTGTCAATGGTTTTTTCCAATATGTCTGCCTCAATCTTTGGCTAGTAGCTTGAATGTCTTCCCTAAAATCATTCCCAAATAACATTCCTACTTCATGGCTTAGCCTGTTGACTGTACACACACACACACACACACACCCACACACACACACTTGAATACTTGCATCTCCCCATTCCTCTAGACCCAATGAGTATACGAAAACCAGTGTCCATGCCTTGTCTTGCTGTGTAGCAATAAAATCATGGCCTCTAGGCTTCCACAGTATCCCAAGTCAGGTGACCCAGTATAGCCTCAATACCTTTTTTTACTATGGTGAACATAGAGCCTCCTTTAATACCCATATTTACATAAGGACTCTTTCTACCACCGACATAAGCCCAGTCCATAACCAGTGTTCTCCTATCTTCTGGTGTCTAGCCTATTGAGAATATCACACACTATCAGACACTTGATTTTTTTTTTTTTTTTGGTTTTTCGACACAGGGTTTCTCTGTGGCTTTGGAGCCTGTCCTGGCACTAGCTCTGTAGACCAGGCTGGTCTCGAACTCCCAGAGATCCGCCTGCCTCTGCCTCCCGAGTGCTGGGATTAAAGGCGTGCGCCACTATCGCCCGGCTCCATACATTTAATCTTATGATTTCATTTTTCCTCCAGATTAATAGCATTCTGTAGTGTATATGTACCACATTTTCATTATCCCTTCATCAGATGAAGAATATGCAGGTTATTTCTATTTCCTAGTTATTGAGAATAAATCATCAATGAACAAGGACTGAACAAGTGTCTGTGGATTAGAATATTGAAATCTTTAGTCACATGCCAAGGAGTAGTATATGTGGGTCATATGGGATTACTTTTAGCTTTATGAAAATTCTTCACACTGATTCCAGAGTGGCCATGTCTTTGAGGAACCCTGTCAAAGGTGAATGGGTGTTCCCTTTTCCCTTTATCCCCTCTAAAATCTGCTGTGAGTTGTTCTGTTGCTCTTTTTGGTAGAGATAAACTGGGATATGGTGAAAAAAAGTTGTTTTAATTTGCATTTCCCTAATTGTTAGAGATGATGGACATTTTTGAGATATTCTATAGTCATTTTTTCTTAATTTTAACTGTTTTTGAATTCTTAGTATATTCTGAATATTAATCTTCTGTCAGACATTTAGCTGACAAAGATTCTCTCCTACTCTGTGACTCCCTCCTCAATTTATTGTTCCCTTAGTTGTTCAGAAGCTTTTTACTTTTCTGAAGTTCCACTTGCCAAGTTTTGACCTTAATTCCCGGCTAAATGGAGTCTTATTTCTAATGTTTTCCTCCAGCTCCAGGGCACTGTCTAGGTTTTCTTCTAGCAGTTTCAGTGGTTCAGGTTTGACATTTAGCTCCTGGATCCATTTGGGGTTAGATTTGTGAAATTTGATAAATACTTATTTAATTTCATTTGTCTGCAAGTGGACATCCAGTTTTACCAGCGTTTGTTGATGATGCTCTCCGTTCTCAAGGATATGCTTTTGGTACCTACTCAATGATATGAAAACCATGCCTCACGGTGGAATAGCCAAATACCTAGGGCTAGTGAAGTTACAAGTCTCGGAAGAGAACCTATAACTAAACGTTTGCTAAACCAGTGTAACCCCTAACTAAATTACACATCTTTATCCTTGTACTCATAGGTAAGTGTACTTCTCACCCATCATCAAGGAAACTTCTTTTTGCAATAGACAGAGATTATTGCAGAAAACCACAATAAGTCAAAATGCAGAGTTGTGGATCCCAATCCCAACTGATACATCTACAGTCCACTCCTACAACCAAGGCCCTGGGAACATCGTGGAAGAGGGATGTACAATCCAGGAACAGGGAGTTTTCTGGGAGACTGTGTCCCTAAGGAATATCAGAGGCTACACTGATAAAGTGTTAACGATATGACTACCAAAGGGCGAGCTGAACAAGGTCAACAACAATACACACATCAAAGCGAAGCAGAGCAAAACCATGGGACCTCAGTCTAAAACAAGGAACTAGAGGTAACTAAGGAATCCTGAGAGCAGGAGAAATAGTCTTTCACAGGGAAGAGTGCTCCAGCTGGTCATCTAGTACAAAATGGTCACTGAAATCAGGTACACAAGCAAGAAACATGTATACAAGTAATGTATACAGGCTGAACAGGTAGTATTTATGTATTTAGGAACACATCAATACCTATCTGTACAGGTATTCTATCCATTTATCCATCTATATACATATGTGTATGTAACAACAATTAATGAAAAAAATAGGTCAAGAACAAGGAGGCGTTTATGAGATGGTTTGGAGTGAGGAAACGAAAGGGGAAAATGATGTGATCATATTATAATCTGAAAATTAAAGAAATGATTAAAAATACTAACTTTAGTCTGTGTTTTCCACCATGACACCACTTCTACAGCAAATATTAAAAATAGACTTAATCGCCGAGCGGTGGTGGTGCACGCCTTTAATCCCAGCACTCGGGAGGCAGAGGCAGGTGGATCTTTGTGGGTTCGAGGCCAGCCTGCTCTACAAGAGCTAGTTCCAGGACAGGCACACACACACACACACACACACACACACACAAAACTATGAAGAAACCCTGTCTTAAAAAATCCCCCCCCAAAAAAAGACTTAATCATTACCTCTTGCCAGATTAGCATAAAATGAATGACCGACTCACCTCTGTTTTTTAACCCAATATATGATGCCGGTCTTTCAAAAAAATTTTAAAACACACTAAGAGACAAAACTCAGAATTTTGATATGCAAATCTAGTATCAGAACCAGATTCCTGTAACAGCCGAAACTTCATAATTATCTGACTGGGAGTTTAAGATAATTCTATTACTTGCCAAGCTTTGTCTCCACAAAACAAATTGATTAAAACATTGAGATTCAATACCTCAGAATGGGGCACTGTTTGGAGAAGGAGACTCGAAAGTAGTAATTAAGTTAGGCAAAGCCGTCTGTGTGTGTTCTAAAGTGCGTATAAGAAATGAGAATTAGGAGACACACAAATTTGAGAACCATGAGAAAATCTGGGGAGAAGATAACCATCTATAAACTAGGGAGAAAGGCCTAGAAGAGACTGTCAATCCCTTGTTACAGCAACCTACCTTCCAGAAAGGGAAGGTTTTCTGTCATTTAAGTTAATGTGTTTTGGATACTTTGTTGTAATAGTCCCCCAAAATAAATTAAAGATACCTTGCAGTGGAGAATGTGGTAACCCTCAGAATAGATTGTTAAATGGCAAGATAATAGTTTGAAGTATCAGGAGGACTCCTGAAGAAATGGAGGAGGGATTGTATGAACCAGGGTGATCAAAATAATGTTAGCGGAACTCACAGAGACAACTGACCTGTGCTCTTGGGAACACGTGGACTCTGTACTGACAGCTAGGGAGCCTGTATGGGACCCACCTAGGTTCTCTGCATGTGGGTGACAGTTGTGTAGCTTAGACAGTTTGTAAGGCTCCTAGCAGTGAGATCAGGACCTGTCCCTGGCACTCAGTTGCCTTTTGGAATCCTGTTTCCTATGATGGCTTACCTTGCCTAGCCTTGATACAGGAGAAGGAGCTCGGTCCTACCTCAACTTTATGTGCCAAGCTTTGTTCAAGCCCAAGGGCGGCCAGACCCTTTCTGAATGGAGACTGAGGAGAAGTAGATGTGGAGGGCGGTATATGGGAATCAGGGGAGGAAGGGGATGGGAGGGGGGAATTATGGTAAGTATGTAAAATAAATGAAAAAATTGCTAATTAAAAATTGAAGTGGAAATGGTGGTATTTCATCTTCGTGTTATAATAAAAACACTTAACTCTGAGTAATATATAATGAAATAATAGCTAATATAATATAATATAATAAAGTGGTTTATTGACCTCACAATTTGGAGAGTTGAGGAACATGAAAATAGTAGCAGCTTGACTCTAAGCAGGTCCTTCAGACCTTCAATCAGGAAAATATAGTGACATAGAAACCGAAGTTTGTGGTGGGGCCAGGATTTCTCTTTTTAACAACCCACTGTCAAAAAAGTAAGAGATCCTAGAAGAAAACCACCTTAGTCTCTATCAAAGGCATTGTCACCAATACCCCAACAACTTCTCCTTAGGTCTCATCTCTTAAAGATTGTGCTACACTTCCAAATTGCTATATTGAAGATAATGCTTCCAATAAATTAAACCTCGGAAGATGCAGGCAAACTGTATTTACGCCATAGAAATTAAAAATAAAAAACAGACTAGTGGGAAGGGAAGAGAAGGGCATATACGAAACGTTAACTGGGGAATGGAAATGGCCAAAGAACATAATATACTTTAATAAAACTCATCAATTTGTACAATAAACATATGTAAAAATGAATTTTAAATATAATTAAAACCTGAGACATTAAGAACATATTTGATGAATTAATAAGTAGAATGGGCACACTAAATAACAGAGACCGTACATATTGAAAGAAAAATATTCAACAATATAGATTTCTAGGTTCTGCAAAATTATCACACCTTTTCTAATGAATAAAAAAATGAACATTTAATCAATATCCTCTTATGGTCTTTATTTTCTTAGGTCATATCTCACTGTGTAGCCATGGCTAGCTTGAAACTTGCTGTGTCAACTAGGGTGTGCCCAAACTCGTAGAGTGCTGCCTTCCTCTGCTTCCCAGGAACTGAATTTAAAAGCATGTACAACTACATTTGGCTTTTTAATAGATGTCTATATAGACTTTATAAATTTATATAACAGATGTTAATAGATTTTATAAAGAAGGAAAATGATTTATATTAAAACAGGTTTAAATATGAGCATTAGAAAATAAAGAGGTCGGTTGGGGTGTTGTTCAATGGTAGAGTATTTGCTGAGGGTGCAAAAGTCCTTGGATTTGACCCTGAACAGAAAAACAAGAGGTTGGGAGTAAGTGAAGGTAACACAATCTTATATTTTTTTAACAAACATGGGAGATCAGAATTCACACACATATTTTCTCAGAACACAATGAAATTAAAATAGAAATAAATAACTGAATGTTAGTTTGAAATCCTCTGGAGGGTTGAATGACATATTTTTAAAATATTTCTAAATTAAGCAGAATATTTTTA